ATGACGCGTGCGAAAACCATGATGAGCGGCAATAAAAACTTTTTGAAGCCATTCCCAATAGGCAGATGCCGATCAGAAATAATACACAATTCATCATTGTCATCAACAATGTGCCACAACTGTTCAAAAAAGTAAGTTTAAGAATCATCGCACTCTTTATCGGCTACACAAAATGCAATTGGAAAAATGTGATTCTCAGTATCTTGTGCCACAGCAAACGACAAGCTACCTCCATACGTGCCACTCAGAAATGTCCCATCAACAACAATAACCTTTCTCATATACGTGAATCCCTTAATGAAAGCTCCAACAGATAAGAAAAAATATCTAAAATGCAATTTATCATCAGCCTTCAAATCAACAATGCTTCCTTTATCATAGGACAACATAACATGGAGATACCCTTCCAACAAAGCATACCCTTCTTCCTGAGTACCCCTGATCATAGCCTTGACTATTTCACATACCTTCTATCTCATCTAATAAGTAAGATTTTGGTTAAAATCTGCAAAAATAGCATCCTTCAGATCTGACGGGGATGGGTCTTTGCCATTAACATAATGTTCCTAGTAATATGCACCCAAAGTCTTCGATGACATGTTAGGATGACGGCTTGATATGTGTTGTACCCTGCATGTATGCTCGCTATGGTACTTGATAATATAAAACCTATCAGAACTCTCGTACTTTAAAGCGCGTAACTTCCACGGAAAACTCACATCTCGGCATGTCACCGAAGTTAATTTACTGGTACTCTTTTTCATACGAAACTTAAAATGCATTTTCACAGAAGCAATCTCCAACTGTTTCATTAGATCCAATTTATTGTCGAAAAATTTTGCCAAGGAAAAAACAAGTACCATCAAGAGGACTGTGTTGTGTAGCTAACGAGTCCACCAAGACTTCATCTCCAGCTGCCAGACTGACAATATTTGGGAGCTCTTTCGCTCCATATTCATCTTTCGGAGCATACGAGTTCATTTTATTGTCACCAAAATAATGCAAGTCATGACTAAATCTACTGAATCTATCTTTCACCATTATTTCCGCCTCTACTTCTAAATTTGGTGGCTATGTTGTTGTTGTTGGTGGTGCAGCCACGATATTTGAACCTTGATGAGACCTTTTACCAGGAACTTCAGACATTCTTCAAACTCATTTTCAGTCGCAAATATCTTCAAGCAAAACCTCATATCACAATTGTAACATCAAGGAGGTAAGATTGCAAATCATTGTCATTCTTAATGAAGGAGGGAGGAATCTTGTCCCTCTTCGGCGTAGAGCTAAGCATATATGTAATATTCAAATTCTTCGGGAAATATGTTAGTTTTTCACGTTTAATGATGAAATCAACAAATTCATCAAAGGTACAATTGCTAGGTATACAGATAGGTATTGTAACCTGTATATAGGAATTCCAATTCCAACTAGTTGTCCCCTCAACCCATTCAACAGAATATAGACCGCATACTAATATATAATCTCTCATCAATCTATTATGAACCAATGATCTATTCTAACAGTGGTCTATTGTATAGTAGTGGTCGAGCACTGTGCAGAAAAAAATTGCAGAAATCCAAATTAACAATGACAAAGAAGATGAGATGAAAACACCTACCAGATGAAGGAGGTACACAATATACCACCTAGAATGAATTATCAATCCAATGTACCACCAATTTCTTCCCCAAATTCGACAGATAAAAAAAAACCCCAATTTTTCGATTTCTTCTCCGTAAATGATAAATCAAAAGAATGAAGGTTTGAGAGGAATATGGAAGAAGGGGGACGATCTTTGTGTGTTGAATGCAAGAAAAATAAGTTGCAATGGAGAAATCAACCGTGGAAAATGGGGATTGGGGTGGCAGATGAGGCGGAAAGGGATGAGAATTTTTTTTTTTTGAAAATCTGGTAATATTAGAATTATATAGGTTGGGGCCAAAGTATAATAACTGAAACTTTAGGGATAAAGACTGGATTTTTACCACTTTATAATCACACTTAAGCACTAATTAAGCATGAAGGTCAATCCTACAATAATTAAAACCGGAAGGTCACTTGGCCAATTCAAGTTTGAAAAGAGGTCACATCGCCAACTACCTAGGTAAGATACATTCTAGTAATTATTTTTGATAATTATTTGCTCTATTTTATGCAATTAGCGTTGTACCACTGCAGAAAGAAGCAGCTCATTTATGGAAATTAGTAAAATTCTCAGGATATTTGCTGAAGTCCATAGGATGACGTGTATCCGAGTAATAATCTGATGCCATTTCACAAAAGCAATTGGCAAAATCATAAGAAATTAAACTTTTACATATTTCTTGTTTACATTATTTATATTCTTTCTCTTATGCATAATCTCATACAGATAACAAGGTGTGGCACGTACAACAACAACAACCCAGTATAATCCATTAGTGGGGTATGAGGAGAGTAGTGTGCACGCAGACCTTACTCCTACCCTGGGGTAGAGAGACTGTTTCCAATAGACCCTCGGCTCCCTCCCTCCAAGAACTTCCCACCTTACTGTTGGGATGACTCGAACTCATAATCTCTTGGTTGGAAGTGGGGGGTGCTCACCACTAGAACAACTCACATTTCCGATATATGGCATTTTCCTGAAAAGATGACATTCCATCTTGTCTAGGTTTTCAAATCCTTGCGGTATTTGCCCTTTGGCAAGGCAAGGTAATCTGCCTTTTCCTCCTAGTGATATTTCTTCTACATGCATTTTCGAACTGATATATTTGGATACTTGATGACCCTAAATAAACACCTACTTACCATATATAAGTACTATTTTTTTGCTCTGTATACTTGATGATATTTTTGTCCGGGAGACATAGACTTATCTTTTAAGCATCAAGAGCATGCATTAATTTTGTGTCCTAAAATCCTTTTTAGCTATAGTTAAGAGACAGTTCAATATCAAAATCAAACTTACCAGATATGTGATGCTATAGAACTAGGATTCAACAGTGTATCACAACTCACATATGAAATTGGTTTTGTATTGGGTTGCGAAAGTCTCTTAAAATCACCTAAATGTTCTGATGTATCGTATCGTATCGTATCGTATCGTATTGTATTGTATTGTAATGTATTGTATCGTTTGATGACTATAATGTTTGGATAGATTGTATCGTTTGTTGTTGTTTCATGATATCACACACCAGCAATATGGAGAATAAACTTGCAATTTTATAAAGAAAAATTATGATACAAGGTAAATTTATTATATAAAAAGGAATGATAAATGATAAAACAAAATTATTTAATAATAATGAAGAGTGAGGTGAGAGAAAAAGACAAGATAACGACGCAACCATACCAAATCGGTCGTTACATAAAGTGGCACATTACGTCGTTACGTAACGACGGATTTAACGATACGATACAATAAAATTTAAGTAACAACCAAAATAAATATTGTATTTAAAGTAACAATACGATACAATACAATACAATAGGTAACAACCATCCAAACAAGTTAGATGACTTTTAACTTCAGTTGTTAATATTATAATTAGTAAAATTAATTATAATTATAAGGAGTAAAAAGTAATTTATAATACTTGATACTTATCATCTACTTTTAATCAACTGATCAAAATAAGTTGAGTTTTTGGCCAATATTGTCCCTTATCTTTGAGGGTAGGTTTATTTTGATACCTTAAATATAGCCCTGAGCATATTTAGTCCCTTAAGTATGCTAAAGTGGAGCACCTTTAGTCTCACCGACACAATGTGTTCAAAAACTAACGGTGTTACCCAACTCTGATTCATGAAGCAAATTTTTTTCTCTGAAGCAAAACGTTTCCTCTCCTTTTATTGGATAACGCAAACTATCACTTCAATTCCTCATTTTTAAATAATAATGTCTTCTAAAATTTTGACCTTGAAAATATCCCCCTTTGTGCCAGTTTTTAATGAGAAAATNTTTTTTCAAATTTTAACTTTTCTTTTTGGAAAAATCAACCGAAAATTTTAAATGTATATATATACAAAAAAAATATACAATTTTTTTTATATTTTTTCGGCTATTATTTTTACAGCGGCTATACAATGTCATTTTCTCATTGAAAACTGGCACATAAGGGGATATTTTCAAGGTCAAAATTTTAGAAGACATTATCTAAAAATGAGAAATTAAAGTGATAATTTGTGTTATTCAATAAGGGGGGGGGGGGAGGAATATTTTGCTTCAGAGCAGAAGATTTGCTTCATGAATTAGAGTTGGGTAACACCGTTAGTTTTCGAACATATTGTGTCTCTGATACTAAAGGTGCTCCACTTAACATACTTAAGGGATTAAATATGCTCAGGGTTATATTTGAGGGACCAAATAGACCTACCCTCAAAGATAACGGACAATATTGGTCAAAAACTCAAATAAGTTCAAAGTACCACGTCCAACCTTATTCAAGTTTTGAAAAGAATATTGACACAACTGGGACTTAAATGTTAATAGAAAGAAAATGTAGGACTTATCTCAAAGTTGGGCGTTAAAGTTAAAGGATCTTTACACATATAGCCGGCCGAATTCATCGCTTACTTTTCCTAGTCGATATATATAAATTATATACTGATTAAATATAATTTTATATATATCATACATGAATTACACATATATATACGTTTGTTGACTATTTTTAGTTTAAGCGGCTGGATAGACGATTATTTAGGTTAAATCTTCTAGCTTGTAGTTAAATAAAGTGATGTAACAAAGAGGAAAACTTGGGAAAAGAAATATAGTGGGTGTTTGGACATAAAAATTGTGAAATTTCGAAAAAAGAAAAAAAAATCAAGTAAAAATGGTATTTAAAAATTAGAATTGTGTTTGGATATGAATATAATTTGGAGCTATTTTTGAATTTTTGTAGGTGATTTGGAGTGAAAAGTTTAAAAAATAATTTTTGGGAATTTTTTAAAATTTGAAATTCAACAAATTTAAAGTTTCCAAAAACTTTTTTTAGGGCCAAACAGGCCCAATAGTTTTTGGTCATTTTCCCTCTCTAAACCCCTCAAAATTCTTGCAACTACAAGCACTATAGGTGTTCATAATTCATAAGAGTGAACTTCAGACTCATTTAACTGATATTTATTCTTCAGGGGTACAGAATGGCTATCAACTCGAGGACGGAATTGCCGGGTAATTTCCTCTATATGTTAATTTAGGCTTGACTTAAGGATTAAGACGAACCTTATATCTGCTTGCTTAATTAAAGCATCTCACATTATCTTTTTGTGTTCCATCAATTCCGTTTCAAGTGTTGAAAAATGAATTTAAACTCCCGTTGGGCCAAAAAAAGTGACCAGGTTTGGGTAACAGTGAGCTTCTCAATTCGAATATCATGTAAATCATGTTTGTAATTAGAGTTAAATTGACAGTTTTACAGTATGTGCAATGATTAAACATATACTTTAGGAAAATTTTCATCACCTACTCGAAAGGTTAAATGACATGGTTCTAATTCGGTTCAGTGTGATGAAGATTTTATATTAACCCTATCAAAGTCAGTGGCGGACGCACGTGGTGGCAAGCGGGTTCAGTTGAACCCGCTTTATCAAAAACTAATACTGTGTATATGTATAAATTATGATTAAAGCTGCGTAAATTTTGTATAAATATTTTATTTGAACCCACTTGACAACTACTATTTTACGACTAAAGTTATGTACTTCTAAAGATTGAACCCGCTTGTACAAAATCTTGGGTCCGCCACTGATCAAAGTTGTGAATCTCATTTTTTGAATAATATTCGGGGTGAGCAAACATTTTCTGTTTCATTTTGATGTTTTTTGTTGTAATGTATTAGTTATTTAGAGTTGACGCTGTTTCACAACTTAGAGGCAGCACCATTAGGGAAATTTCACAAAGTATCTGCAGAACGATTAAAGTTGATTGTAGAATCATCACCGTAGCACGAAGTCCTGTTTGCTGTTCTAAATTTGTGTTTCCAAATTTAAAGAAAGAAATATAGGGGTATACTGAGGTGCATACAAGAAGGAAAAAGAACTCCATTGATGACCGATATAAATGATATCCTTCTATCTATGCTTGTGCCATGTACCTGTATATTATTACAAAGTTCACAAATAAAAAGAACTCCATTGATTACCTGTATATCTATGCTTGTGCCATGTACCTTGCTAGGAGGTAGAAAACAAAGACAGGAAAAAAAAAAAAAACATATTTCAAAGCACGTGATATGAAATATTTAAGTTTGAACCTTGTCGCAGACAAAAGCCTGATATTTAAGTGGAGAAGGGCAGAGGGGCGCGCCCATTATTCACCGAGTTAGTAACCGTGCGCCACGGTTGTGGGGAATTTCTCGGTTATCAAAAATATATATATTTCAAAGCATTGGAAAGTGCCTTTAGGTTTGCATGTGTACTTTCCTTTTTCACTTGACTATGTTGCTTGTGTATTTAACTTTCCTTATACCTTGCACAGGTTTTGAAATGATTCTTTAGACCTGTACAAACACTTAGATAAATCAGATAATTGATGTTCCCTTTTGCCACTTTTGATGATAAGAAAATACTTCTTGCAGGAGATAGACTGAATTCGAGAGCACTCAACTTGCACAACATGCCAAAAAAACCTGTTGCATCAATCAGCAAACAACAGACTCCACTTGATCTCTTACGTACACTATATGGTGAGTTCTCTAAATTCTTTGGATTGATACCCTGTGCAAGATGTTACCACAAAAATTCTTGGATTGATAGCCTGTGCAAGATGTTACCACTATAATTTCTGGAGTTTTACTGGTGAGATCAAGCCTTTTAACTTTATAAATGAGTGACTGAACCTTTTAATATGATCCTGAAATATATATAAATGGAAATATCAGATTCAAGGGTAATATTTTGCTATCCTCAGAGCAAATTAACATCATTTAGTCTCCTTGCATTTGCAATCAGTTTCACTTTCTTGTAAGAACTTCAAATGGCTTTCAGGTAACCACAATGATAGCAAGAATAGATACAAAATTATGAATTTTCAAGTGAGACAGAATTTGTCATACTTACAATGTCTGCAGTATCTGCACTAGGTCACCGACATGCACAAAGGCATCATACAAACACGTGCAGAGCACATTGTGTTGGGAAGCTAACTTGTGTCCTTTATTTATTGACCAGAATATGTTGGAATGTTTTTTGAAAGGACTAAGAAAATAAAGGATGAAAAGAAATCCTATTTAAGAAGACTAAATTCATCTCAAAGTAGGAAGATTATATATCTGGTATCTTTGTGTCTTCTTTGTCATCTTATTTCCACATGTACTTAGGGAAAATGATGATAAATTTATGCTTCTCATCTAATTCTGTTGCACCATTTTTCCGATTTGGCTGGAAATAGAACTTCTTAAGGCTCTCGCTAATTTGAGCTATTGCTTGCCAGAACTAATATCCTCCATGTATAAGATTTCAACATCTAAAGATTGACTCCAGTTACTTTGTGAGTAAAAAGGCATCACTTGAATAAACTATAAAGAATTTTCTGAAATCTGAAACGAAAAATATCAAATTTAGAACGGTAGTAAGAATCTTTCATGAGTGCTCTCATGCGGAGTTACCCCATTCTATTGGATCAAGAAACTCAAATTAACTTAAATAGGTGAAAGTAGAACCATACACATATTTATCATCAGTAAGCTGGGAATTAACCATCCGGTACATACTTTTGTTAGACCTTCATGTGTGTTCTATAAACATCCCTACTATATCCATTTAAACTGAAATTGCATCATTCTCTTTTCCCTTACAATTATATTAAAAGCCTAAAACTATTTCCACCTACTGAGAATTAGCACTTACCTTCTCTCTGATATGACTTTGTTAGTCTGGTCTCTTTGTAAATTATGGACAACGTTAAGTCTCTATTTTCTATGTTCAGTACTGAAATACAAAATGTGTCTTCTAACACCATTGTAATTAATGGTGTTGAAACCCAATAATAAATTGTCATCAATATGTTATATAGAGTCACGTGGGGTTACCAATTCAAAGGGATGCGACTATTAATAATTATTGAAGTTTACAAGAACTGATCTCCATTCTTGGCTTGAACAAATGCTCAAAATATATACTGAAAATACTCTTTCCTATAATGTTAGATGTATAGTACAAATGTACTAATCAGCAATATCTTGTAAATATTTTTGGGTGCTTTGTCTCAGTAATGATTGTGCTAGACTGACATGTTATTGCTGAATGGAACCTTTAAGTGCACTTTTGGATTGTAGATGAACTTGGTTGACGTTATACCTTCTAAGTAGTGCAGTTGATAGTTATACAGCTTTGTGTTTCCGAAGTCTTCTCCTGTGTTGATTTAGATATTGTGTACATTAAATGATAAATTCAAAAAAATGTGCATGTTCTCTCTTTTTATTGTTAAATCTTCTTGTAGAGGGAGCTATAGCTGGAGCTGCTGCTGGTGTTGTTGTAGAAGCTGTTCTGTATCCTATTGATACAATTAAAACTCGACTACAAGCAGGTTTAGACTGTTTAACATTTTATGAATATCATCTGTAATTTCTCTTCTTCCATCCTGCTACTTTCTCCTTTAGCACATACTGACTATTTATCTGGATGTTTTTCACTTGTGATATTCTGAGTAGTTTTTGATAAGGTTAGCTTTTAACGAAAATTTTAACAGCTTAGCAACCTTTTATTTATCATCCATCAAACTGTCATACAGGAGTGTCAATTTCTTCAAGTTTATTTTTATTTCTCCAAGGATCTGCTGACCTTCAGATCAGTGTAGCTCATCAGCTCTTATAGTATAATTGATTTGACCAGTTCATGGTTTAATGTTAGGCAGTTCGTGGTGGGGGACAAATCATTTTGAAAGGTCTTTATTCAGGATTGGCTGGAAATCTTGCTGGTGTATTACCGTAAGTAGTCTGGATTTTGAATACTTCACTTTATGAATCTGAATACATGGATGAACTTTATCTTCAATGCACATTTTGCATTATAAAATTACACTGAGGTCTACAGATTATTTGTTCAAAATCGTATTTTGTCTTAAGACTTAATTGAACTGACCAAGGCCTTGACCTGTGAAGCTGAAATTTGCTTGCTGACAGGTTATGCATTCAGCTTCAGCATCACTAAATAGTATGCAATTGCTTGAAATAGTAATTTGGATAATGACGAGTAATTTGGATGTGCACTTGACAGAAAGCTATATAAGGGCTGGAAACTAACTGAGTTTAGTGCCAGCTGCCTGCTGAAGCCAAACTAGTTGTCTTCTACAGAACCCC